ACCTTCCTGGTGGCGGTGGACCTTGACGAGGATGACGGGGACCCGGACGAGTCAGTCTATATGCAGGGCCAGGTTGTTCGCAAGCGAAAGTACACCAACGACATCACGGATGGAGCTCCCCCTGCAGAGGCGACACCTACCGAGCAAGACCTCCAACATGAGCGAGAAGAACGAGAATGGCAGGACCGCAGCAGGGGAGAACGTGAAAGGCAGCAGCTTGCACATGAGGCCGAGGAGGCTGAGTGGGAGGCTATGCAGGAAGCAGATGCACTACGGCTGTGGCGCACCGTGGACGTGGAAACCTTGCCACCGCCCTCTGCCACCATCCACCACAGGGTCAGGGTCATGGTTGAGCCGATTCCGGCGGTGGACACAGGGGGGACAGCGTCGTCGAGCGTGCCGCCTGCTGCGGTCATGGAGTGCCGAGTTCCCCGACTTGTTCGTGGAGGCCTTCGGCTGAGCATCGAGTTGGGAGAGGTCGGGGTGCCGACTGACGACCCCCATGGCTCGGAGGCGCCTCCTGGTGCTACATCGTCCTTCCACCGCTGGCCTCAGGCGCTCATACCTGTGGCACCACATGAAGAGCGGACTGGTGCTACGGAGCTGCTTTCCTTGAATGCTGCATATGAGGCATGGGCTCAGGGTCACTACACGGACAGCGACATTCGGGGGATGTACGGGGATGACGTTGCTTCTACGTTCTTGGCCCAGTGGCTCGCGGTGCAGGAGGACTTCCTGGATAGTGAGGACGGATCAGCGGTGACACAAGTACAAGATGATGATACTCAGGGTTGACGGCAAGGGGTCATGAAAGTGAAGCTACCGCCTGTACGACAATGGCGCTATCGCTGCTGAGGGGTTTTTTACTACGCCTGCCCCCTGGGGCTCTCCGACGGCTAACTGCAGACGGAAAAAGGTGCTTAAAAAAAAAAAAAAACCCTAAACCCTAAACCCTTTTTTACTAAGTCCCCTGATCCTCCAAGTAAAAACCTATGGCAGGTCGTACTTCGACCGTGCGGACGGTGGGACCTCTCTCTGCCTCGATGCGCTCTGCCCGAGGACGCTCCCCCGAGGCGTAGCCCACAAAGTAACAGGGTTTAGGGTTTAGGGTTTAGGGTTTCCTAAACCCCCCAGGTACCTACTATATTCGGGCCCTAGGGGCTCAAGTACCCTATATAGTACGTACTTGGGGGGTTAGGGTAATATACAGGCCTTAATACTTAGAGTAGGGTTTTGGGGCATATTAATGGACCTATAAGCATAATCAGGAGCCCCGAAAGCAGTATAGGTTATTGTTATACGGCCCTCTTACAGGAGCTTTTATATAGTGCTTAGGGTTCGGGTCTGGGGTTTAGGGTTCTTGGGTCCTGCTTGGAGGATCATGGGACTTAGCAAATTAAGTTATAAGTGCCCTATTCGGGGTTATAGCTACATTTACCTTAGTTACAACCCTAGTTACTAAGTGCCATGATCCTCCAAGTAGTGTTTAGGGTTCGGGTGCAGGGTCCAGTGTTTCGGGTCGAGGGTCTATTGTTGAGGGTCTCCTGTTTAGGGGGGTTTAGGGTTTAGTGTTTAGGGATTTGGGTGAAAATGGGGTTTGTGTATACTTCGCTGTATAGAAATCCTTATACGTACCGTTCATGGAGCCACTATGAAACCATATATACGTGAAAGCTTCACAAGCGATGACCCAGGCTCCTGTTCTATTTGTTTTTTGTTGCTTGTTTGTTAGTGCCAATAGTTGAGTGTTCAGATCCAGATCCATGATGGTCTGCTGAGGGCTGAGAATGTTTGTTAGGGTATACATAGGGTGTAGGGTTCACACGCCCCAACTTTGCATAGCCTGAACCCTGATTCCCCCCCCTGAAGCTCAAACCGTAAAGCCCCAAGCCCAAAATTCCAGAACCCTGAACCCGAAACCCTAAGTCCTAAACTGGCATAAACCCTAAGCCCAAAACGGACGAAGCGCGAGGTTTTGCAAGGCTTAGAGGATTGCCCCGGCTGCGCATCCTTTTGGAACACGAGGGGAGTTTCAAGGTTTTCGGAGGAATCGCTGGAACCAGGGTTTACTTGGAGGATCATGGGACTTAGTAACTAGGGTTATAAATAAGGTAACTATAATTATAAACCCCAATTAGGGCACTTATAACCTTACTTCCTAAGTCTCATGATCCTCCATATATTAAAAAAAACTCTTGCGGCTTCTGCTTGTCGGCCTGCCGTCATGTCAGTCCACCCTAAACCCTAAACCCTAAACCCTCAAGGCAGCAGCTTCGCGCGCCGGCTGCTGGTGCTGCTGCTGCAGCTTGCCGGTCGGATTTAGGGCCTTTTCAGGCTAAGATAGAACTTACCCTAAGTTCCTTCCCCCCCAACTCCATGCTAAGCTAAAACCCTCTAAGCCCAAATCGCACAATCTTGATACGGGCTGTGGAATTCCGGGTGATGTAGGGGCGTTAATAATTGCCTCTACCATGTTGGGGGTTCCTTCTTATGAGTATAGTAGAATATACACCAAAGCCCGGTTCTAATTACTAAGGCCCCTACATTAAACCCCCAACAGTGTTCTCTAAACCCACCTCTAAACCCACCTACACCCAAACATCGATCTAGTACTTAACCCCCTGTATAAACCGTAAAGTTGAAACCTAGGCGGTAGGGCACTCTGTTCTACTTAGATGTTCGAGTTCCGGGTTCTTGGGTACTGTACCGCAGAGCTGCATTTACATCGGAGGGCTTCTTCTGGATTTTAGCGGCCTTGTAAAGTTTTCTAACTCTCAACCCGAAACCGGAATCCCCTACGGGTTCGGGTTTGATAGGGAATTTGCAGGGCTTTATCGGGATGTTGTAGCAAGGGTCATATGAAGCCTTCTTAAACTCCTCACATTAAGGATCCCACTATTTGGGGTCTAATAAGGCTTGAAAGATTGCTACTCATGCTCCTCCTGCTGAAAAGGCCACTTATCATATACTACTACTACTACTACTACTACTACTACTACTATTACTTCTACTACTTCTACTACTTCTACTATTATTATTCTGTAAGGTTCTACTTATTACAAGGCCCCTGCATTTCAATCGAAACTTCGTTGTTTTTGAAATGAGCTGTTTCCGCAGTCGCGAACAGGGCCCGGAGCTTGTCGATTTTTGGGGTGTAGGGTGAAGGGCTTATGCTCCTTGGAGGGAACTTAGTAAGAAAGGTTATAAGTACCCTTTTTGGGGTTATAAGTATAGTTACCTGATTTATAACCCTAGTTACTAAGTCACATGATCCTCCAAGTCCGGCGTTTTTTCTGGAGGGGGGGAGTTTGGAGGGGGGGAGTGTAGACCCCCATGAAAGTATGCTCTAGAATTATACTTCAAAGAGACCCCAAGACCTTATGTTATTGTTCAGGCTCACATACCAAACTCTTACGCACTCCTTTATCACGAGCCCTTCAAGGTCCGGTATATCGAGAAATATTCAGGCTCCTCTTGTCTAGGACATTTTCAGGTGGGTAGTTACCGTTATAGGAGCCTTATAGAAGGTCTATATACCTATAGAAGCCTTATAGAAGCCCTATATACCCTAAACTCCCCACCTGTATTTTCCGTTAATCTTGTAGTGCTCCGAGGACGGATGGCTTGGCGAAAGAAGGAGTTGACATCGGCGACTTGCTACGAGATCTTGCTTGCGGATGCATACATCAGGGCTCCTTTCCCGAAGGCTCCATAAACCCAAGTACTATATACCTAGGCCTTAAAGCGATTCTGAATATGGGCATTTGAAGGGGCTAAGTAAATACAAATTAGCCTAACTAATTACCTGTACTATGTTAGAGATGCCTTGTTATAAACATAGTATATGAGGGGCCCTAAAAACCCCATTCTAGTTATTAAGGCCTAAACCCTAAACCCTAAACTTCTAAACCCTAACCCTGAACACTAAAGCCTAACGCCCTAAACCCTATGTGGGTATATTGGAGCCTTGGGCTTTGGGGTTCCATGCAGAATACTGGGTCAGCATAGGTAGTACTTGGAGGATCATGGGACTTAGTAACTAGGGTTATAAATAAGGCAGCTATAATTATAACCCCAGTTAGGGTACTTATAGCCATAGTTACTAAGTCCCATGATCCTCCAAGTGAGAGCATGCCTCTACACTCCCTCTTCGGCTATACGACTGATACGGTTGATGACATAAATCCTGCATTACCCATAATAAGGAATATACCATAGTTTCCATAGTTTAGGGTCCCTAAGGTAATGCAGGTTTTATATCATCAACAGTATGTCCCAAAGCCCTGTTCTATTCATTAATGCCCCCATATATGTGATCCTTGAACTCGTGGGTTCAGAGTCCATGGCTTACATAGGGGTTATAGACCTTCATATTATTGACTGTGCCAGCTGGGCCGTGAGGGCAATGCGGGGCCAAATGGAAAGACATCCTAAGCACCATCCCTACGTTAATTACTCCGCAAGCTACACCTCTAGCCGGCAATTAGCCTCTGCCACACCCAATCCAAAAACCTGAGGGCTTTACGTGTCCCAAGGGTTCAAGCACGAGCCTCGAGTCCGTCAGCGCTAGCGGCTAGCGGGGTCCCTCGCCTTATGTACTCAAAAGCCCGTAGACCCCTACAAGGTCAGTACGGCACGATGCTCTACCGGACTTATGTTGGGCAGCGCCCAAGGCGGACGCCTTTCCTGGTGGGCGACGCATCTCGGACCGCCGCGGAAGTTTCCTTGGGTTCAGGGTTTTGGGTATGGATCAGCGGACTTTGCAAGTAAGGCAAGTACTTCTAAGTTGGGCTTGAAGCAACTACCCAGAGAGCCCAATACCCCTTAATTCAGGAACATACCTTAAATCATAAATGCAAAGGCCCCTATCATCTAAGGTATATTCCTTATTTAAGGGGTATTGGGCTCTCTGGGTATGACTATGCCCTAAGCCTAAACCCGAAATCCTAAACCCTAAACTATTAGTTGCAAGGAGTGGTACTCGACAGGGCTTCAGGTCTGGGTCTTTCTTGAGGGTCCTCTCTTATTGCTTTAGGGTTTAGGGTTTAGGGTTTAGGGGGGACCTGCGGGATAAAAGTGAAGGCACACCGTAATAAAGGGGCCTATATAATAACTTATAGTTGTTTTTTGGTGCTTCCTTATTTTAATTATAGTAAAATATTCCCCAACACCCTAGTCTAATTATTAAGGCCCCTACATTAAGAGCTTTACGTAGACGAAAGGGGCAGGCTTTGTTTTATCCCTACGGCCTTACGATCATCAAGAAGCTTCAAGGTATACAGAATTACGTGTGACTCGACTGACACCAGCATGATGCAAGAAGATCTCGCTGGCCATAGTCAACAACATCGGTTCAGGGTCGAGACGAGATGAACGGTGCCTACTTGGAGGATCAAGCGGCTTTTTAAATAGGGTTATAAGTAAGGCAGCTATAGTCATTTGGGTAGTTCTCCAGGTCCCCAAAATAGTACGGCACTCTTATACAAAGGACCCTAAAAGGGACCCTAATTGAGAGAACTACCCATATCTACGTCTAACCCCAAACTCCAAACCATACTTATTGAGTTCCATGATCCTCTCTATAACCCTAAACCCCTAAACCCTATAACCCCAACCCCCTAAACCCCTAAACCCTATAACCTTAGATGCAACCTGAATCCCTAAACCCTATGACCTTAAACCCGAAACCCTAAACCCCTAAACCCTTTCCGACTCCCTGATTTGGCGAGCAGGAAATGAGCCGCTGAACACAAAAACTT